TATCATACAAATGTGATTTTAATATAAATCCAGAATTAATTACATTAATTTGAACGCAAAATGCCTGGAAATTCCTATTTTCTTCATCAGCATCACCCTGAAAATTAGGCAATGATGTTCCCCAACTTACATTCCTAATGTTACACGACATAATAATTATCTTGGGAACTCAGCGCGAGTGAGATCCGCTTGCTTATGTAATTTATAGCACGAGTTTCCTTACGTCTTTAATATTTATTTCCCTAGAATAGGTTAGCATACCGCAAATGATGTTACATAAAATGTTTTACGATTTAAACTACACACATGGAAAAGAGTTATGTAACAACATATTAACACTTTGCTTTTTTACTTTAATCAAAGATTGCTTAAAAATAAACAATAAAAAATTTAGTTTCGAAATGGATTAGATATGTATGCGTTATATTTAGCGAAACAAAAAATCTAACACTGAGATTTGAATAATTAATGTTACCCTTAAAGTTTTTACATAGGCTTGATTCTACGATTATGGTAATAATGAAATAGTACAAAAAATTAATTTGAGAGAAGGAATTATACTGATGAAGTAATATTGTTGTTACAATATACTTAATACTTCATTAGCTTTCCTGAAATAATAATTTTGTAGAACTTTATATTGCATGCAATTAGAAAAAAAACTCACATTAAAAAGTTAAACACGGAGAAAGAAATGTTAATTTCTGGAAGCCAATCTAAATTGGAGAAGCTGTATCTTGTTGCAGAGGTACAAGGAAGAATGCAAATATGTTAGATAACAGACAATCACAGATTCATGTCAAGAAATGTGCAAATCAAAGTACAGGGTGTCTATAAAAGAACTCCGGGGTTTTAAAAATTCATATCTCACTAACTATAAAAGATAGCAAAATTTAGTCGATTTCTCTGAAAAGAGTAGCTCAAAAAGTTTTACTCATACCAATTGGGAATGTGTGTATCAACTGTTGGCGACGCTGCAGGGCGTTGACCTTGAAATGACGTCGCGAAATTTGAAAAGATGGCGACTCCGCAACAAAAGGCTCAATGTGTTATTTGGCTCATGGAAACGAAGTCTTTAGTTACCGTACAAAGTGCAGAGAAAATTCGTGATGTTCAACATCTCAGGGAACGAATAGTCAATTGTGTGGCAACCGTCACCCCAGACATGCTCGCCAGGACATGGGAAGAGGTAGAATACCGTTTAGACGTCTGCCGTGCCACTAACGGGGCTCATATAGAACTTTACTAAGTGTTAAAAAAACTTGAAAATGTAAGCTTTTCAGTCATGTATAAAACATGTATGTGTGTTTTTGATTTCATTAAAATATTTTGCCTCAAAACCCCGGAGTTCTTTTATAGACACCCTGTATAAGAAGCTTGTTTTGTGATTTAAGTGCGTTCCATTTAAGTGCGAATGAAAAGTGTTTAGAATATCCTTTAATATTCTTTTAAGTTAAATTTATTTCTATGTCTTCCGGAAAACAAATTCTGAACACTGGCGTGCAGCCGGAAGTATTGAAGCAGAAAAGTTTATCACATATGTTGCTCTTTTCTTCTATAATTTCGTCCATTACTCCACCATTTCACAATTATGGAAACAATTCCTAACCTGCTTCCAAACCTGCCAAATAGTTAATACCTGCGACCTGTTGCTGAAGGGTTACGACCATGGTTGAAAGCCCTTATATAGCAAGACGGAAAAGTGCAAAAGCTGGTATGAAAGACATTTCATTTTAGCATTTTTTTCGAGAAAAATAAAATACTTGTAACTACCAAGAATTCTTTTATAATTTTAGTCTATATATAAAACTGCTTATTTTCCATGGAAAAAAGTACAGATTGTTAAACAGTTTTAAAAAGAATAAGTTAACTCCTCCCGAAAACTAGATACAGGGTGTCCCAAAAGGTCGTTTACAAACTTAACATGTTGGTCTGTCATATCATGATGAACAAGATTTACATAGGAACTTGTGTCCGAAATTTAAAACTGCGACCGCTAGAGGGCGATAATTGCACGAAAACGGGAGAGTGGGCAAAACAATCATTTCAGGCGTGGACGTTGAAGGAGAAGGATGAATGAGTTTAGTAACGCAGAAATGGCCGACATGCATTACGTATACGGCGCCGCTGATGGAAATGGACGAGCCGCGGCACGGACGTACCTTGAGCGCTTCCCAAACAGACGTCAGCCAAGTCATGTTTTGTTTGGACGATTGCACCGCAGATTATGTGAATCAGGTGCTTTCGTAGCACGTAGCCACATCGGTCGAGAACGTGCTACACGCACACCTGTCGTAGAGGAAACCGTGCTACAGGAGTATGCCATCAACCCGCAAAGAAGTCTCCGAGAAGGCGAACGTGTCTTGGGTGTAGCTCGTTCCACCATAATGCGCATACTGCACGATGACATGCAACACCCTTACCACTTCCAAAAAGTACAGGCATTGTGCGCTGACGATTATCCCAAACGCATTGCATTCTCACGCTGGTATTTGCAACAGCGGGTCGCACAGCCAGATTTTCCATCATGGATTTTGTTTTCTGATGAATCCTGCTTTACACGGGATGGTGTCGTGAACCTGCACAACATGCACGTATGGGCGCATGAAAACCCAAGATGTACACGTGCCCATGCACATCAACAACGTTTCAGCGTAAACGTTTGGGCTGGTATTATCGGTGACATGTTGATTGGCCCTTACCTTCTACCTGAACGCCTCGACGGAAATACCTATCGCATTTTTTTAGAAAGAGTTTTGCCGGATCTGATGGGTGACGTTCCAGCCGCTACACGCCGAAACATCTGGTTTCAGCATGATGGAGCGCCTGCCCACTTTAGCTACGCTGTTCGAGAATACCTCGATAGGATTTATCCTAATCGCTGGATCGGTAGAGGCGGACCAGTCCCATGGCCGCCGCGATCCCCCGACCTGACTCCCCTGGATTTCTACCTGTGGGGACACATGAAGTCCATAGTGTACGAGACACCTGTAACATCGGACATGGATCTTATCGCCAGGATCGCGGAAGCGGCAGCACGTGTCCGTGACACTCCTGGCCAATTTGAACGGGTTCGTGAATCCATGCGCCGACGCTGTGAAACGTGCATTGTGGCGAATGGAAGGAATTTTGAGCATTTGCTGTGATGTAATGATGTTTTATAATAAAAATCATATTAACACCGCTATCGATATCATTTTTTTTCTCCTCATCCAAACCTGCACTTATCGCCCTCTAGCGGTCTCAGTTTTAATTTTCGGACACAAGTTCCTATGTAAATCTTGTTCATCATGATATGACAGACCAGCATGCTAAGTTTGTAAACGACCTTTTGGGACACCCTGTATAACTGAGATGGTTTTACTACCAGCCTATCCTCTTTTCCGTCTCGCTTTCACCCCTGGTTACGACCCCCTGAAAGATGTTGTTGCAGTCAAGAGGGATTGAAGAGTGAGCAATATACATTTGACTTCGATGGTTAGAGATACTAATGCCATTAATAAGGCGAATTGGCATTAGTTACACAATACCAGTCAGTACTGTTCGCCGTTCCCTACACATGAACGGTCAGTATGCCTGAAACAGAGTTTGTATTCCTCTATCCATTCAATCCAGATAGGCGCAATTAAAGTGGTCTTGCCAGCATATTTATTGGACTGCGCCTGATAGGGGCAATGTCATGTTTGCCGGTGAGTTTAGAGTTGGTCACCAACTCGACGGCAAGCGTGCTAGGTCTGGAGGGAGCAAGGAACAGGCCACTGAACATCATGGTATGGGCAGGTTATTCAATGGGATATCGCACCGACCTGCACATCTACAGGCAAAGTTCTGTGTAGATTGTACAGTATCAGGGTGAAGTTCTAGACCCTATTGAGAAACTGTAAGCCTTGTGAAACTGTACACTGCAGCAATTGGTCAAACTTCCGTTTTAATGAACGACAACGCATGATCTCATCATGCAGCTATCGTGTACGACAATTTGGAGAGAAAGGAAGTTGCGCGTATGGAGTAACCGTCTTTAAGATGCCCTCGGCAGAGCCGTATACTCATATCCTCCCTCCAGTCATTCTCACAGATTAAGAAACTGCTACAAAAGAGGAATGGCGATTATTGAACTCTGAGATGTTTGACCACCTCGTAACAAGCATGATCACACGTTGTACTGCATTTTAATGCTTCGTGTGTAACTTTTGGAAGTCAGTATATAGTGAACTTTAAGTTTCTACTCTCTCACTATCTCTAAGCCTTTTTAAAAATAAAACTAAGTTTTACTAAAACTAAGAATATTTTAATTTTTAAACTAAAGATATTTTACTAAAAATTTTAATCTTTAAGTTATGCATTATACTATTATTTTCAAAAATAAACTAATTTTTATAAATAAATACAGTAAAGTATAATATTTATATTTAATGTGTAATATTAAATCAAAAATCATAATCTTTTATGTATTTTTATTTTTAAATTGAACACTGCACACTGCATTGATTAATCACTTCGTCAAAGATTTTTTCAATAATTCTTTCGGAAACAAATTACTTATTTAAACATAAGTTCTGTGAAAAAATTATCAATTAGAATATTTATTGCATTCATCATTTACCTTAATAATAAAAGATTAAGTTTTTGAATGTTATGTACAAACAGTTGCAATCTTCTAAATTAACTAATTTGAAAAAATAAAATCTAAAAAATTAATAAAAATGGATCAACAGCTATGATAAAAACGCTGTTATTCAAAGATTAAACAAATCAAAAAGTTCTGTCACATTTTTCTTACTTGGTTAGCAAAGGCAGTTTAGTACAATTTATCCTAAGAGGCAGATTCTTAGACAAAATTTGGGCTAAACACCTCAAACAGTTTCCTTTTATAGTACAAAAAAAAAAATTTTGATGGAACAATTTTCAGCTCAGAATGTCGTACTTTTTATTTAATTTTGAATCCGTCCCAACTGAAAACAATTTATCTGAATTTTAATAGCTGATACTTTTTCACTAACCTGATAAGCATCTTTGATATTAACATTCTCTTTAGTTTGTGCAACATGCCCAGCTATGCCGATGCCAAAAGGGATGGGCGGGATTTTCGATTCGCCATCTTCATCGACAGCAGCATCCAAAGCATCTTGCAACACTGAATCTGGAGTGACATCAAAAAGTTTGGCTACCAGGTATCTTGACCCACGAGGACCTTTAGCAAGGAAGAGACTCCCCCTGTCACTGTTAGTCAAGATACTAACATTAACCAGAATTTTGTGGCAAAGTGTGTCCACGTCCAACTCATTTGCAATGTCTCTGATCAGTTCCATAAGGAGGTCAGGTTCTTTAAGGCTTTTAAGATGCTTCTGCAGTTCTTTTCTACTCCTGCAAAGATAAAAAAAACCAACACGTTTAACTAATCGAACATTTCTTTCTATTACCATCGTGAGAATTACAAATTTAAATGTACATAATAAGTCTAAATCAGGGCCAAAATTTCATTTTTCAAAATCAGTAGCAAAATTTGCTAGAGCTAAACACTGCTACCAGCCAAATCAAGGTTCATACAAGTTACTAGCCAAATCAAGTTTTTCAGAGCGATATCGCAATACATTTGTGATTCGGAACATAATCATTGCGGTACTACTTATTGTAATAAAACGATCATTGAATAGTAATTATTTATGCTCGTATGAAATTTTAAGTACTGGAATGCTTGATTCCGAATACGTTGGTATTAATAACATCGCACTTAAAATATCGAGATTTTGAAAAAGATGTGGAAACTGCCGGAAGTAAGACAACAAACTGTAACAACTGCAAAGAAAACGATTAGAAAATGACGTTATTTAAGACGCCAAGGTCACGATTTGAGAGCGTTAAGAAGTGATTAGTCAAATTAGCATTTAATGTGCCATAATAACAGCAAATTAAAACTATCGATAATTGAAAAACTATGAGAAAAAGGCCTTAAAAACGAAAAATAAGTGTGGAGGAAATGGTCGGAAAATGATGCGGACTAATATACGCGAAGAAAACACTAACAAAGTGATAAGACAAATTCAAAATTCGGGTGTCGAAATGTAATATTAAAAATAGGAAATAGAAAAACCAATATATTGAAACAGCCAAAAACACGAGGTAAATGTACAGAGGAATCATCGCAAGTTGAATACGTCAAAAATTTATTTCTCAAATTTCAAATTCACGTGTCATGTTGACATCGTATTAAAAATATTGGAATTTGAAAAATCACGTGTAAAAAGACAAAAAAGCGATCGAAAATCCAGACCATCAGAAGTTGCTAGCAAATTTTGCTAGCAACAGTGAAACCTCGATTTTACGTCCCCGAATTTACGTTTTTCCCGCATTTTACGTTTTTTTCATCAGACCCAGTTTTTCCGTAAACCTTCAATGTTAATTTTACCCGGATTGTAAGTTTTTAATTTACGGAATTTCCCGTATTTTACGTTTTTTGTAGAAAGAAAAAAAATGTTTTAATAAGCAATATTTTTTCTATGTTTGCTTTTTTAAAGCTCATCCACGTTGTTGAAAGTAAATCTATGAAAGCAGTAACGCATTCCACAGACTACTGTTTTCTAGAACTTTAGTCCTCTCTCCCCCTTCCTTTGTTGAACACCTGCTGCCTGTCTCGGACAAGGCAGCGGGCGAAGAAACAAAGTACAGAAACAACACATTTCATTGATGCAGGAATGAGACAGATAGGAGAAGAGACACTCCAGTTACCAATCAGATGTAGTGACTTATTTTCTTCCTTGGAAAGCAAAGGGGATCTTTACGTTTCTACAGCTTTTCAGACTCTGTTGTTGTTTAGCACAAGGTGGTCGCATTTCAAACCCTTTCGTACGAAAATGGTGAGCAAAAAACGCAAAAACTTTTCTGTTGCTGAGAAAGCCGAAATTGATGAGCAGTTTAATGAATTTCATGGAACAAAAGTAGCATTCGCTCAATTGCAAGGAATTCCCGTAACAACCCTGCAATCCATACTACAGAAAAAAGAATGCATTGATAAAAACTTTGAAAAAGTCGGTGAAAAAAATGCCAAGAAACGGAGAACAATGAAAAAATCCCCGTACGACGAGATGGAAGGGATTTTAGTATAATGGTTTAAAGAGGCTCGTGACGCTAATGTACCTGTAAATGGCACTATATTAAGAGAAAAAGCTCTAGAAATCGCCGATAGACTTGGTTTAAAAGACTTTACAGCTTCCAATGGCTGGATTGACAGGATGAAAAAAAGACATAATCTTGTGTATAGATCGCTCTCCGGAGAATCATCAAGCGTGAATGAAGCTACAATAGAAGAATGGAAGAAAAATGTACCAAATTTGACCAAAGGATACAGGACGTATTCAATGCGGACGAGACCGGACTTTTCTTTAACCTTCTGCCGGATAAAAGTTACGTTTCTAAGGGAGATTCCTGCCACGGAGGGAAGATGTCAAAATTGCGTCTTACTGTTTTACTATGCTGTAATTCTGATGGAAGTGAGAAGGTGACTCCACTCGTTGTTGGAAAATCACGCAAACCACGATGCTTTAAAAACGTGAGAAGTTTCCCAACAAATTATGAAGCAAACAAAAAAGCGTGGATAACAAAAGCCCTTTTCGAAGACTTTTTGCAGAAACTGAATAAAAAGATGAAATTTCAGAACCGCAAAATAATTTTGTTCATCGATCAATGCAGTGCACATCCGGATTTGCAGCTATCTAATGTGCGTGTTGAGTTTTTTCCTGCAAACTGTACAAGCAAATTACAGCCTTGTGATCTCGGCATTATTCGATCATTTAAGGTTTTTTACAGAAAGCAACTTGTCCGGAAAGCTGTAGCTGAACTAGAGAACGGAAACCTAAATGACGCCTGCAAACTAAAGTTAAGTGTTCTGGAGGCTATGCATTTTATTTCTGCTGCTTGGAGAAGCGTTACACAAAAGTGCATTTCCCACTGTTTTGAAGAAAGCGGAATCGTAGCTTCTAATGAACCGTTAACAGATGCAGGATTAGATAGACTAGACTCGGAGAATGACAATGAAACAGTTAGCTATGACTTCGACGAGTACATCCGAGAAAACTTAGCAACATGCGAAGCTGAGAGAACCACTGCTCCATCCGTGGACGATGTTATGGACTTTTCATCCGCCGATGAAGATGAACAAGAAGAAACAGAAGCACAGCCCGTTCCTTCTTTCAACACAGCATTGAGAAGTTTGCTAATAGTGAAAGACTATTTTCTATCATACAAAGACCAGGAAAAAAATTTGCAAAAGATTTCAGTCCTGGAAGATGAGGCATTTACTTTGAACTCAATGTCTAAAAAACAATCTACTATTACGCACTATTTTGCACCTAAATTACATGATTCTTAACAAAAATTGTAAAAGTGATCTTGAACTGGTATGTTTTTTTCTTTAAATACTAATATTCTTTTCGTAAAATATAGATTTTAATAGTACCTTTTGAAAGAGTCATCTTTACTACCTTTAGTTTGTTTTATTTTCCCATTATTATTATATGATTTTTTGCTATCTAAGTATTTCCCGTATTTTACGTTTTCCCGGATTTTACGTTTTTTTTACCCAGTCCCCTGAGAAACGTAAAATCGGGGTTTCACTGTACTATGTTTTTCTACAAATATCATTTTTTTTCACTTGCAATTTGCTTCTTGCCACTTGACGAAATCCCGTCCTGGTTTGAATGTGTCCATCTAAAGCATAATGATAGTTTTATCTAAAATTTGAATAACATGTACTAAAAAATGTTATGCTAAGAACACTCATTTTGAAATTGGCCAAAATGGATACCAAGGAATGAAGTATAAACCATATCATTATTCCTGTAAATAAAGTTTATTATTAAGAACACACAGATGATTACACGAAGGGAATCCAATGCTGCTCAAATCAATGCTATGCTTGCTTCATCAAAGAAAATGCTACAAAATAATGCCAATTAAAAAACTTTCAAAATTGCTGGTTATCCGATATCACTTTTTATTGAAGAATATCTCTTTTTGATCCGAAAATAGTTGGAAAGTATTGCCTTGTGCACTTTTAAACCTTTTTTATAGTTCTGTAGAGAAACAGATTATTTAATGTTCTAACATAAACTAGTGAACTGAGCTAGTTAGTGTTATAAGCGTTTCAATAAATATGATAATATTTCAAGTGCATAAATATGTTTAGAACTTCAGATTTTAATTACTACAAAACCATATTCGACATTGTGAATTATTTTAATATGTAACAAAATAATCAATAAGTTTCTCTTTTTCACTGCAAAGGAAAATTCAGTTTGGACCTTTGTCCTAGAAACAAAGTACAAAACAACAGTGCTATACGCTAAGCGTTCTCCTGTATTACTTTTTATCAAATCTGCTTCACATTAAAATAAAGTGAACAAAAAACTTTTTTTTTACTCATTCTTACATACTCAACATACATTAATTTGATTCAAAAATATTTATCAAAAAGTTTCATCAGCCTTAAAAAAGGCCCGTTTTGAAAAATAATCGGTCATTTTAAATGTATAAACGTTTAATCTGCAACATTCATTGTAGATTGAATGATGTACAACACATTATTGATTATTTTGTTACATATTAAAATAATTCACAATATCGAATATGGTTTTGTAATAATTAAAATCTGAAGTTCCGAACATATTTATGCACTCGAAATATTATGATGTTTATTGAAACGCTTATAACACTATCTAGTTCAGTTTACACTATTGTCTGTTAGAACATTAAATAATCTGTTTCTCTAAACAACTATAAAAAAGGTTTAAAAGTCCACAAGACAATACTTTCCAAGTATTTTCGGATCAAAAAGAGATATTCTTCAATAAAAAGTGATATCGGATAACCAGCAATTCTGAAAGTTTTTAATTGACATTATTTTGTAGCATTTTCTTTGATGAAGCAAGCACAGAATAGATTTGCACAGCATTGGATTCCCTTCGTGTAATCATCTGTGTGTTTTTAATAATAACTATGTCGGGCAATAAATTAATTACATAATTATTGTTTCTTAAACTTCATCCCGACTACTAAATTAGAAGTAACTTTTTTTTAGTTTTTTGAACATTCAAAGTATAATTTTTCTTCGAAATAATTTAAGTATCAAATTGACATATTCTGGAATAGCATGGTATAAAATGTATAAGTTTGCATTTTATTCTGCTTAGAATAAAAATATTAACTATATTTTCTCCAGATTCAAATTAATATACAAAGTTGAAGCGGCAGACCTAAGTGATATTCGTTAATGATATGAACAAATTTGCCAAAAAACTAATTAGTTAATTTTTTCATCCTGTATTCTTATTTTCAACTCCATTATAATTGCAAGACGTTTCACGCTTTTG